ACATCTACAAGTAGCTCAGCTATTGACTTAACTATTGAACCACCATCAAAATGCAAAGCAAGTACTTCTTTTACATCTCTGCAAAGTCAACTTGATAACACAGTTGAGCTTGACGATGATCTTGCTATACAGCTACAAGAATTTTTTGATGGAGAATGTTCTAATAACCTAACTATGAATCTTGATGATGCAAGTCAAGAGTCTGTAATGCAGTCCATCAACCTAAATGTTGACACATCAGGACAGTTCTTTGTTGTCATAAGGCGTGGTGCTGATGTTTATAGGAAACTATCCATCTGGAGAAGAGAAGCAAAGAAAAGTGTTTCAGGTTCTCATCCACTGAGGATAAGCTATGTTGGAGAACAAGGAATTGATACAGGAGCCATGTCCAAAGAATTCTTCACAGAAACAGTTGCAGAGATAAGGTCAACCTTTTTTCCAAATGGCTGCCCAGTTGATTCCACTTTCCACATCCAAAATGGCAACTTACGCACATGTGGAAACATTGTAGCTTCAAGTTTGGCACAGGGAGGGCCTGCACCCCACTTTATGGATGAAAGTGCATATAACCTCATGATAAATCCTAAAGTGGATCTTCAGAAGCTTGATAAAGACAGGCATTTAACTGAGTATGACAGGAATTTGCTGCAGTCTGTTAGAGATGACATTGTTTCCAATACAGATACCATTATTGACTGTGGTTATACATGCCCAATAGATAAGGAACACATAGAAGAAATTGTCAATTCTATCATTGTATCCATTGTTTCCAAGAGATTAATGTGCCTGCAGGAGTTTGTGGAAGGTCTAAACCAATTTGGTGTTGCGCCCTCAATACGCCTTTTTCCTAATATCTTCAAAGTTCTGTTTACTCTGGAATCCCAACCCACTGCGAAAGTAGATGCAAACCACATCTTTTCAGTTTTGGCTCCACAATATTCAATGATAGGTAAGAAGAATTCACCTTTCTGGAATTCATGACGGGACAGGGAACAAGTGTAGTAGTATTAATCTAATTAAGAACCAAACACATCACATGAAAGATCACACTAAAATTATTAAATATAAAGTTTTAGAATGAGATTTTTTATGAGCTTTTAACAAATCTTTAAAATAAGAGAGATCGAATGTATGGTTTTGGGATACTTTCCTTATATAAACCCTCTTTCTCTTTTAGAAGCTTATAACTCAGTAGGTATTTATCTAAACATGCTCAAACCCAGTTACAATACTGTTTGTATGATTTATTTTGTGTTGGGGATAATTTTTTAATAAGAAATGTTTTTCACTCAAAACGTGAGTCCTCTCATGAATTCCAGGAACCAAGGTGAATACTACTTTATAAACAATTTTCAATCAATTCACTGCAAAGAGTACATTTAATTATATTGTTTTCTTTTGTGTTGATGATA